CAGCAAATAAACAGCATCCAAAATGGAAAGAACTCCGCCAAAGGAAATCAATCTTTTAATGTTAATTTAAGCAAGAATCTTGCTTTCGGAGGAAAACAAGTGAACGATGGTGCGATCAGTGGCAATGGTGCGGGAGGTAACCAAAAGATCGTGAGCGACCTTACTGGAAACAAAGTCAAGGATTGTAGCGCTGCAAAGACTACTCAACAATTATTTGCATGCATCCAAGGCTAAATTTGTTGCTAATTGTATATAATGTAGATGTGTATATAGCTTTTACTTAATCATATAATCGTAAACCAATCTCTATTAATTTTCGGTCAATTCTTGTGGATGAATATGAATGTGTTGAATAAAGTCAGATTTGCGTATGAGTTATAAATCTACCCTTACAGTTCAATTCCTTACCGATGAGCACATAATTGCTTTGATTGTAGCTCTAAGAACTCGGCTTGGCTAAAATAGATCTATCCCTTGAGTGGAATTTAATTCCCGTTAATGTCAGAGAGATGAGGTTGTACGCAGGTATAAAAATTCATTGTTATTGATTCATAATATCTCCTATTTATTTGACTTTACGGCTGCAGACGTTATTAGAGTAAAGCACGCTCAGATATACCAATTTATTTCCTGTATGCCCTCGCCCAAATTAGTTGACATCGTGTAACTTTTGAAGTCTGAAGTAGTACCCACGCAGAACTTAAATCTTCTGCCTGCTACCCTTCACTATCTAGGAATTAAATCAGACTGATAGCATTAATTTTAAGACTGCGAATCGAAATCTGGTTTGTCTAGTGTAAATCTGCTGTTCCAAGCAATTGCATTCCGCCGGTTTCTTCACCAACTTAGCCAACCAAAATATTAAAAGGGTAGCTCATTAAGTACCTACAGGTAACGGTCAATTATTGGCAGTCTTTCTGATAGCCAGTTGGCATCGAAATCTGCTATATGTTTACAGTCAGAAGCAACCAACCGCGATACGTTGCTACATGAAGCATATTAAACGCGCGAAGTTGAGGAATGGTGGGGTGGAAGACCACGAGCCGACAATCCCATAGGAACCAATCCTGATTAAATTTCAATTAATACAGCAATGTAAATCTTAAACCACGAAACTTTAATTTTCGGCGACATAAAAGGGCTTTCTTTCCCACTTCCTATCATTAACAGAGAAACAACTCGAATCTCTTGAATCACTACAATTCACTAACCCCTATCGCGTTCCAAATTTTTATCTGCAAAAATGAAATCCATAATCGTTTTATTTGCTCTCGTCGCTGCCACGCTCTCCAGTCCTATCGCTCAACAATCCAATTCTTTGTTCATCGGCGGCAATTCAGGCAAAAATCAATTTACTACTGGCAGTATTACACACAACCAAAATACCAACGGCATGCAATCCGGCTTCATCACTTTCGCCCAGATCAAGTCTTCGAATCCTTCGTTACTCTAAACTCTTCTGCTGCACAAGGTACCGCTCTAGTTCAGGTTGACAATGCCGCCAAAAACACCCAAAAGGGATCCTCAAAGATCAGTAATAACGATGCCAATATTCAACTTAATTTCGTCGAAAGCAGAAAGAACAGCGTCACTACCGCAACTACTAAAGCCGATATTACCAATAATTTGGGTGTGAAGGACCAAAGAAATTTGGTGGATGTGAATAAAAATCGAGCAACCAAACAAGTTCTAGGATCCGCTATATCAGGTAACGTTGCCGGTGAGCAAGAAAACAAAATCCGCAATCAAAAGAACGCTGCAAAAGGAGATCAAACATTTGACATTAATTTGAATAAGAATATTGTTTTCACCGGAAAACAAGGGAAACAAGTAAACTCTGGTGAAGTTAGTGGCAATACAGCTGATGGCAACCAGAAGGTTAATAGCGACCTTACTGGAAACGAAATTACCGCGAAAGATTGCAGCTCTGCTAAGACTCCCCAACAAGTTTTGGCATGCCTGGGGCTCTAAGTTATATTTTTAAATGTATATAGTATGGTGATTATATAATATAAATGTAAAAAAGTCATGTAAATATTTTATAGTTTCGTTTTATGTATTGTTTGTTGTGAATCAGTTGAATAAAGCTTGGGCGGTGTTTGTGAATCTACGGGCTTCATTTCGATCCATACGGAAATATAATTTAATAATGAAAGGTTTAGGCACTGCTCATCGTTATAAGTCAGTCATACATAGCATTTAGTCCGCATCAAATAATGTCTCTCCCATTCAATAGCTAATAAAATGTTCATTTTAAAATTGTTGATGTGGTACATCAGGTAAACTCTGTCCATTTGTGCAGGAAGAACACAATATATACTGTCAATCTGGTGTTGTGTCAATCGATTCTATATACCAAACCCCTAAAAATATCCTCCTAATTAACAATCATTGATGGACCACCGAATACTATAGCGTTCCCAAACAGGCTCTGGTTTTATTTATGTAATATTTACAACGTCATTTCTAATGTGGCTGCGGTTCACAAGGTTTTCCCAACTCAACAATTTTTTCAAATTCATTCCTGTCCCACGGACACTTGCTGGAGGTCTCGATTAACTTTTCCGCGCATGAAGAACATAATCTATGGTGGCACGGTAGTATGACTGGATAAAAATCGCAATTTAAATATTAAAATATCATTTCACATGAAGAAACATTGTGGGTTCAAATAGAATAGGGGAGGGTAGATTTAGAAAAAACAAAGATTGCATACAGAGTTACTCAACCGTAGACTTACCTTTACTTTCTGTGGAGTCATAGCAGAGTTGGCAATCCCCAACTTCAGATGACAGATTTGCCTTCACGATATCTAATAGGTCGTCTGAACAATATCAATTAGGGCACACTTCGTGGGTGAATGGCTAAAAGTTTGAGGTGAGACGTACCTGACTGTAATTTAGATATCACTTGTGAATTCTCTCTTGAACGTAACTCCTGAATCTAGAGAACAGCAAGATGATAATCAGAATATAAGCTGTTACGAAAGGGACGGTGTTGAGAGAAACAGACTTTTCTATCTTTCGCTTGCTGCAGCTCTCGTAACTTAACTCGATACTCATCTTCGATGGCTTGCATTTTTGAATCTCGCTCTCGCTGGATGAGTGCTAAGTCCGATCTAGCGATGGCAATTCAATAAGTTGATAAGTTGGTACACAATGAATACAATGGGCGATGTAGGCCCGACGATGACAAACCGATAAGTTTCTTCGATTTCTGAAAATGTTTTCGTATAATCCGTACTGGCATTACCTTCAAAACTTTCTGGGTGGTTGCTTGAGGGTACAAACGCAATTTTCCACAAGTTAACCAATGAAACAATTGTCTTAAACATAACAGTGCAAACATACTTGGTGATGAAACTTGGAATATTGGTTGCAGAATCATTTTCCTCATTTGGTATGTGTCCCCTTTGAAGAGATCGTATTTTTTCGACGCATAACGCTGCATTTTGTTCTAATTGTCGTCGGACGTAGTGAATATTTACATTCCCAGACTTAATTAGAATCAAACCCATACCATCGCAAAAAGGAAACTGTATGAATAGAGTTTCATTCACAGTAATCATGACCATAGGTTTTTCGTTGCCAATTGACTTCATTCGTGCATCAGTAACGGTGAACAATTTGAAGAGGAGTGTACAATGTTGCGGCGAGAAGGTGAGGGTAGTGTTTGATATCTCGTTATGGTTATCCGATAAAGTGGTGGCATCCGATTCCGGATACAGTAAAGAACCATCCCACAAGATTCCAGTTTCAGAAATTGTAAGAGAACCAATCCCGAGAGTGACCTTTGTGAATCTTTAGTAAGCTTGTAGTCAGACCCGTAACCAAATACGTAAAATAAGATTTACAAAATTAAAGCAGACGGAGACGTTTGGAAACTCGTTCTTCGACTGTGAGGTGAGAGATTCGGCGGTGCTGTGATCATCGGAAACCGGTTCGCAAGAATATGACAACAATTTTGTTATCATATCAGTCAGCGTCTCTTCCTTAGTTTTTATCTCATCCTCTGGTAGCTTGTCCTGCGCCTGCTCCTAATCAAATGAGATAAAATTTGGCATTTAATTATGGCGAAAGAGAATTCTCTGTGGGAATGTCCGGAGTAAACAAGACCGGATTTTAACTTACCAAATCGCATTCAGTGATGAACACGTCCCTAAATGATCCTAATCCAAAGACATCATGCTGAGTTTCCTGATTTAGGGCCGGATTCTGAACCCCAAATTCCTCGGATTCATTTATGTTTGATGAAAAATTGACGTTCAGGTCAAAAGAATAGTTTAATTCAAGATTATTCAGGGTCAGGTCCAATTTTGAATCATGTTTTTGTTTATCTTTGTTCTTTGACATTGAGCCCTTCTCTTCCGAATAATTCTGCCGAGAAGTGAGAAGAGAATTGGAAGAGGATGAGAAAGTATCATTCTTGTTTGTCGGGTCACTCTGTAGATTGGACAGGCTGACGTCGCAACTCAAGTTGAAGTCTTCATCGAATGACGGTTTAGAGACTGAGAAGGGCGAGTCATCTTCGTTGCTTCCCCAATTTAAGGATGGCATCGAAAGGGAGGAATGGGGAGATGGCATCGATACATTTGAAAATTGCTTGTTTAGGTAAAATGCATGGGTCAACGGGGAGTCCGTGGGGATAATCGGGTTTCTCAAAGGACGGGAGGGTGTGTTGATGGAGGATGCGGAGGACGACGGGTCGGGCCTGAGGGAGAAATGAGACGACAACTGCGAGAACGAATTGCTCCTCCTCGACCAGTCCTTTGGAGTGAATGCCATCGTCGTGGATATGGAATGCAGTATGTATGCCGACGCTCCAAGAGTGAGCATGTCCCTTCCAACTCCGACCTGAAGAACGCGCCCAGATAAACAATTCCTTCAATTGACAATTTCAAAGCAAATAATTATATCATTGATCCTAGCAAAACAAACTAATACATCTGATTCTAACGGTGAAATAAAACTGAATTTCATTGCTGGTTTAAAATCTAAAATTGTCGTCTCCGTGGATTGAACACGGGGCCTTCAGATGACAGTGCCTTAAGGACCCTTCAGTCTGACGCTCTCCCAGCTGAGCTAAGACGACTTGTGAGAGACCAAGCAACAAAAAATATATAGCATTATTGTTGTCTTGTAAGTTGATAAAGACCACTTCAACTATCAACAGTCAAACGAATCTTAATCTATGGTAGATTTATCGATTCAATACTGCTTAATTTTGAGATTTTAACAAAAATATAATAATATATTCGATCAATCTATCAATACACGATTTATACGGATGTTTTAACCCAACCAGCATATATGCATACAAATTTTAATTTGCAAAATCGAATTTAGAATGAAAATAAATTTCGGCCAGAATACAACCGCCTTGATGATACCGGAACTTTAGCACCCAGCAGCGGGAGCAGCGCTCTTTGGAGGAGCAGGGTTGTTTGCAGGAGGAGGGTTACTTGCAGGAGGAGGATTATTTGCAGGAGGAGGGTTGTTTGCCGGAGGAGGGTTATTCGCAGGGGGAGGGTTATTTGCAGGGGGAGGGTTATTTGCAGGGGGAGGGTTGGCTGGAGGAGTTGTGGTTTGTGATAGAACAGAATTTCCATTGATTAAGGCATTGAAAATGGAAGATCCAGCGCTATTACCGGAGACGGATCCGGAATTCGCTTGGCTATTCAGTGCCATGTTATCGGTAATTCTGAGAGCAAAGTCTTGGACACCGACTGCTTTGTTCGATCCGATATTTCCGATATTTACTTGAGTGACAGCAGCATTCTTTGACATGGATTGCAAGAACGCTTGATTGAAGGCAGTATTACCAGACATATCGATGCCATTGCGTTGAGCTCCAAAAGCCATGTTGTTTTCGATACCAGCGGCAAGACCTTGAGTGCCAGTAGCGACATTCTTGGATGTTTGGATGATGTTGGTCTGACCAGAGCCGCTGACAGAACCTGTAATTCCGACCATAATGCTTTGATCTTTTGCGGAATTTTGAGCAACTTGGATACCGTTTTTCATCTCCAATGCGGCGTTATTGGCCATGATAGCATTCATGCCTTGTGTTGATCCAGCTGTATTGCCGACTGAGGCGAAGATGTTGGTTTGGAGACCTCTGAGGTCGGAGTTCCCAGATAAGACGACATTCGTAGATTGGGTACCACTTGCCTGATTACCTTGGATGGAAATGGAGTTGGTTTGAACGGGTGCCGCGACAGATGAAGACGCCAAAGCGAGGAATGCTAAAGTAGATAATTTGGAGAACATTTTTTGCTGATCGAGGAAAAATCTTCAATCTACTGAATTACTGTAAAGAATTGATATGATACCTTGTTTGAATATCTAGCTACCGTGTCGCCGTATTTATGTAGAAACTATGCTGAATGTGATCTAACATTTTAATTTTTAATTTCACGGGTCCCCGATTTCGCGATTGGTGCATTTCGCGACACGCAAGAAACGTCAATTAATGTAATCCTAAATTTCATTTCTTTCATCAATTTATACCACACCGAAACCAATCACACAGAATATAAAAATTATATCATTTTTGCCCCGCTTATTACTTCGCAAACTTGAATTACCAGGTCGGTGATGGGTGGAATAATAGCTGGCAGATTTTCGTCAAGATTGGTGGATCATAAATTAACTTCAGGCTGAGTGAGCTGCATGCACTGGCCAATGGTTTCTGCCAACTTGTTGGATACCACTAGAATACATTCTGTTCTTATTGATATAATCAAACCTGATTGTGGCATTCGTAGATTAATATATTCGCCTGAACATTGTGAATCCATATCGCTCACTATTGTCATGATTTCATGCATAACTAGAATTCCGTCCCAACGTTTCTGTAAGAGCTTCGTACATCCCGCCGGAGAAAAGGGACCTAACAGAGTGAAATGACTATGTATTGCTTAATAAATGGCTGGAGAATTAAAAATTTGCAATTAAGAACGCAAACGAGAGTTGTCAGTTTCCGTTTTCTACAATCTATTCCTGACAATGTTTCGATATAACTTCCCAAGGATTGATTGAATATGCTTTTTTTTAATGTCCCATTTTATATTTATTGTACTATTTAATTCAAGAGTTGGGGATCCCATCTCTAAACCGTTCATAAAATTCAATCATTTCTTTCGTTATCCTCTTTTTTACCTTTCCGAAAGCGGCTTCAAAATGTCGTTTACATATTTCTTTTATATTTACATCTTCTTCCATCGCCGACATCGCAGCGATTTGACATATACTGACCATCTCCGCTCCTGAATATCCCTCAGTGAGAGAAGCCAACGATTCCAAAAAGGCCGAAGTTACTGAGTTTGAAACTGACATCCTTGAAGTCTGAATTTTCAATATTGAAAGACGAGAGGCGTATGTAGGAGGTGGAATATAGAGAAGTCGATCTATTCGGCCGGGACGTAATAGGGCGGGATCCTATGAAATAGGTACAATGTTAACTCAAAATCGATTGAGAGTACTAATTTCTGAAGTCAATTACCAAAACGTCTGGTCGATTGGTGGCGGCGACAACCGTCACATTCACTAGTGACTCAATTCCATCTAATTCATTAAGTAATTGCGATAATACTCGATCCCCGACGGAGTTACCTGAATCAGACGAAGAAGAGCGCTTGACGGCAACGGCGTCGATCTCATCCTAACGTATTGTACAACATGATAGTTTAAAAAAGAGGTTATTTTAGCAACTGACATGGTTTAGCCAACCGTTTTAGAGGGAATAAATATCACATCTACTTACAAAAAATACGATACTAGGACTGACTGCTCTAGCTTTTCTGAATACTTCTCTTACTTTCTTTTCTGATTCTCCGACGTACTTGTTAAACAATTCAGGTCCTTTTATTGCGATGAAATTTAGCCCAGCTTCTGTTGCCAGAGCCTTGGCCATTAACGTTTTTGAACATCCCGGGGGCCCATAGAGTAAGATGCCCTTCGGGGGTCGAATGCTGAAACGTGTAAATAGATCGGCATGCTAAGGTTTGGAAATGAGTGACGCTGAAGAGATGAATGGCGGGAATTCGTAAGGGACAACGTAACCTTCAAAGGCCACTCCACTGATTCCTTCAATTTTTGTTTAATTTCTTCTTGACCTCCTATGTCATTCCAATATACTTTCGGTACTTCGATTTGTACCTACACAACACCATCAATGATTAACGGATCAGCACCGAGGCTCCGTTGTTGAGCAATCGAGTCAAATACCTCTCTCATCGCACTTGGTTTCACCATTCCCAAAGCTGCCTTGAAATCCTCAACCGTAATTTTCAGATCCATCACATCATCATTGCCATTACCTTTGGCTTCCCTTCCTTTAACAAATTTCCGCACAGCACTAATTCCTGCCTCTTTTACGACACCACTCAAATCGGCGCCAACGAAACCATGACATTTCTCGGCAATGCTCGTTATTTGTTCATTCGATAAAGTATGTGGTGTATGTGACAACAATGCGGTAAGAATCTCTATTCGAGAGTTTAGTGTTGGGATTGGAATTTCCAGCTCAACATCAAAGCGGCCAGGACGGCGCAAAGCTGGGTCTAGTGACGATGGGCGGTTTGTGGAAGCGAGAATCAGGATATTAGGTTTTGCGTTTGCGGATGTGTGAGGATTCGATAAATCAGAAGTGCTTGGCACAAGTTTTGAAGAGGTCCCGTCCATGAGAGTTAATAGTGTTGCGACGATGCGCTTTTCCATCTCGGACGGCGTCTAGTGATCAGCGGTTAAAGCCATGCCCAACACAGGTTGAATATTCTTAAATACGAGAGGTATGAAGCACTTACATCATCACGCTTCGGGCACAGAGCGTCGATTTCATCAATAAATAAGATACTAGGGCCTTCCTTTTCAGCTTTCTCAAAAATAGATCGCAATGTGTTCTCCGTTTCACCGTAATATTTACTCATGATTTCTGATCCATTGATGATCACAACATTGCATTTTAACTCAGACGCGATCACTTTAGCCAGCAACGTTTTACCAGTACCGGGAGGCCCATACAACAGAATTCCTTTCGGAGGAGGGAGATTGTATTGGGTATAGAAATGAGGGGAGTATAGAGCAGTAGTAGCGATGGATCGTATAGTGGAAAGTTGAGATTCGAGTCCACCGATTGGTATAAGCGGGAGAGGTGTCAGGTTATCCGGCTCAGTAGCCTGTGGAATGTGACTGATAAGTTCATAACTTCTGCTTATGAACTGCGAAATCAAATTAATACTCACCGCTCCTGATTGCCTAAATTGAACACTTGTCCGACGAGTTATTCTAAAAACAGGATACCTGCAATCTAACGATAGCGATTTACTGCTAATCTCATCAATTCCATCTACAGTCACCGACCAGCTCCGATCACGATAATTAAAGTCAAAAACTCTGTTGATTGAAATGTATTTGACTTCAACTGCGTACAATCGAGAGAGAAAGTTCTAATTAATAATCATTTTCCTTTTTATCTGATAACTGCATATCAACTGTATAAATCAATGATGCCAGAATCGGAGAGATAACAAACCCAGCACTTCTTTCACCAAGTACTCAAGCAAAGGATCACTCTGCAAAGACGCCGTCATTGCGTCCTCGGTTGTCCACCGAAATGTAACGGATAGTACATCAACTGGTGCATCCAATATCGGTAGTATGGTGACAAAATGACCAAGAGGAACAGATATTGTTTCCAGAATTGTGGGTTGCGTTTGAATTTCTAACGGGATGGTCAGAGTGAAAGTTCCACATAAAGGTTAGGCACGGGCAAGGCACAGAGATACATGAGCTCTAATGAAAGGCGAAGATACAAACGAGATGTTGCGACCGATGTTGATGGCCATACTGTTATGATCGCATACTGTTGCGTTGAAGCAATGATATAGGAAAGAAACATGAGCATCCGAGATCAGCCTTTCAAGATCAACGCTAAAAACATCACCAACACGGATAACTCCAAGTCACATAGCTAAGTGAGAACATAGATCACCTTATCAGATGTAGTTTCATTTTCTCTTCCAGGAAATTTAAAACTCGGGAGTATAATCGCTGGTTCGCCCGGATTAAAATCATAGTTATTGAAATCAG